ACCTGCCTTTCTTTTCCTTAATATTCCTTTATTATTTCTTCTTTTATTATTATTATTATTTTCTTTCAATTTTTCTTTCTTTTTTTGGGGGTGGAGTCATTTTCCATTCAATATCGTTTCTTACCTTTCTAGATTTTCTTTTGCTTTCTTTCTTTCATTCTTTCTTTCTTTCTTTCTTTCTTTCGTGTTAAATCCATTCTTTTTTCTATTTCAACGTATTTCATTTTTTTACTCTTTTTCGTTGATGTAATCATTTTCTTTCTTTCATTGGTTTATTGCTTAGAGCCGTTCTTTTTCTTTCTTGTACCATTCATTTTTATTTTTTTATTTTTTTTTTTATTAATTCTCTATTTATTTATTTGATTCATTCTTTGAATTCAATCTTTTCTTTCATTCTTTCTTTTGGTTTATTGCACAGAGTCGTTCGTTTTCTTTCTTTTTTACAATTTTCTTCGGTATCCAATTTTTTTCATTTTTTTTCTTTACGTTTTTTTTTTGTTTTTATTTTCTTCTTCACCTTCATTTCTATTGTAAATGTTCTTTTCTTTTCCCTCTTTTCTTTTTTTTTTCTTTTTCTTTCTTCCTTCTGTCAATCTTCTTTAATATCTTTTCGACTTTGAAATTTTCTTCCACACATTTTCATTCATTCCGTGTCTTCTTCTTGCAGTTAAATAGCAGGGTAGACTGGTCTCTGTAGACTTGGGTGGCAGCCAGTCTAGGAAAAAGAACTACTCTAAATTCCAAACCGCGAAGAAAAAAACGTGAAAAAACTTTACTATCTTTCTTCCTTTCTTTTCGTTTAACTTCTTTTGCTTTGTCTCTTACCGATGTTTCTTTTTCTTTCTTTTTTCTTTTTCTTTCTTTTTTCTTTTTCTTTCTTTCTTTCTTTCTTTTTCATTTACAATCACTCCTTCTTTCTTTAAATTTACTATCACTCTTTCTTTCTTTTTTCTTTACATTTACTAGCACTGCTTCTTTCTTTCTTTCTTTTTTTTACATTTACCATCACTTTTTCTTTCTTTCTTTCTTTCTTTCTTTTTTCTTTCTTTTTTTCTTTATTGTATATTTTGAAAGAATCCTAAAATTATGTGTGATCGAATCAAGATATCAATAAAGCATCGAAGGAAATCGGACGAAGTTGGAAGGACAAAAGTTGATATAAAGACGAACTTTACAGGTGTTTTTGTTTATATATACACAATTTGGAAACATGGATGAAATGAAAAATGGCTACATAGCAGGTAGCTCTAAAAATATTATAAAAAAGAGCCTACCATAATGAAAAAATATCCGAAAATTAATAAAAACAAGGTTTTATCTTCAAAATGTTTATGTTATCATTACGAGAAGAGGCCATTTTATTAATTTTTTTTAATCCTTCCTAGCACGTTCGAAGTTTTGATTAAAAGATTTTCTTGTTCTTGCGTCAGCCGGTGGGCCAAAGATTAGTATAGTGATTTTTAGCGTCCTTTTTGGCTTTAAAAACACATTGTTTTGGAAATTCTTGCAAAAATCAAATAATAGTCTGATTTTAATGAAAATTTCAGGACTTATTCACAAATGAATGGAATTATTTTTGTTTTGTTTTTAGAAAATCTTGGTAAAAATAAACTTGTTTTTATAGCTGACACCCTCACTTACGTAATTTTATGAAATTTTGAGAAAATAAAATTTCAGCCACTCCGTATTTATATTACTTAAAAGCAGAACGCTTTGCAGAATTTAATTCATGAATTTGTTTTTATAAAAGAGAAACATCATTTACCGAATATCTGATCTGAAGGGTAAAATAAATAATGCAATAAAACTATGATATTATTTAATTATAAAAGCTTTTAATTGTTTTTTTATAAATAAGATATATTAAGGACATGGGAATTTTTTTTTTTCGATGAATAATGTATTTTTACAAGAATTGTTTAATTATTTTAAAATTTTAATTAGAAACGTTTAAGTTCTGAATCTTTTAAAATTCTGTTTTAATTTCAGCCCTTTATATGATACAAATCATCAAACACTAATATTTTCAAATGAATTTTGAATTTTTTTGTATGTGTATAAACTTGCCGATTTTTATACATACGCGTGACCATACATCAAACAGCAATATTTTAAAAAGAATTTTGATTTTTTTTTTATATGTGTATAAACGTGCCGATTTTAGTGGATATGGTTGCCCATACACGACATATTCAGAAAATAAGAGCGATAACGATAGTAAATTTAAAGCCAGCATTTCTAAAATTCAGTAAACATTAGATTATAGCGAATATTTCTCTAAATTTTAAAGATTACTGAATACTTAAAAAATCATTTTCTTCAATTATGTTTTACAGATAAAGTGTCCGTAGAACAACATTAGACCTGTCACCAGGCTGTCATAACATAAACATGGCTGCTTTCGGGTTAAAAATACAGCTCCTGTTGGTTTAAAAAGTGAATTCCTGCGATGTTTTAAACTTAAAATAAATAATATTTGTTCCAAATCAGATTAATTACGCTTTAAGTCAGCTCATATTACTCAAATAAAGGTTTAGAAAAAGAATATTTTAGTTTTGGAAGATTTTTTTAACAAAGAGAATTACATTGCGATGAAAGGCGAGTAAAAATGGACCCTAATCAGCGATTTTAGCAAAGAAAAATCCTTCCAGTCCATTTAAATTAATTTGAAATTACAGAGGAATAGATTGATTATTTGAAATATTAAATTTAATCTATTGGCTTGAAATTATAAAAGCGTCAAGAATTTTTTTTTATTTCTAAAAAGTCATTTTAAACTATAGTTATCGCGTTTTTAGTTGGTCCCTATATAGCTCCCTCAATTGGCACTCGGGTTTAACTGCCATCGTGAGTTAATCTGATCGCTTAAAAGTCAATTATACGCTTTAAGTTCTTTAATATCCAATAGTTAAGCAGAGTATTAAGAAAAAAAAAATGAATTAGAGACAAATAAAACAGTACTAAACTGTTACATAATATTAATCATCGTACACTAATTACATTATTCGGATTATTGTCCTCATCCTTGTCGCCATATTTATTACAACGTTTCGGCCGGTGTACGCTCCAGCCATCTTCAAGTGGTTCGAATGTCGAACGGAACCCTTTATCTCGCTCACTGGGATAGACTGTTCTAGTTCCACGCTTATCAGACGATATGAAAAGAATTTACATAAAATAAATAGACAACATTTGTCTATATTATTTAATGAAACATGTATGAATGAAAAAATGCTTCCGAAATACACACAGTATATATATATATATATATATATATATATATATATATGATAGACCCTCCCATCCATTTGAATGTATGAGGATCCGACAACCTCATTCGGTTTGTATGCTTGCGTCGTACGTAACACTTCAGTCTCGTTAGTGACTTGTATACAAGTCGACATATTGTGCAACAACGAGGATCTCGGGACATCGCATCAGCAATATTTGCTGGTGCATTTCTCCGTTGTCTTTCGTCTGATTTTGAAATTTCTGATGTCACTCTGGCACATCTCCATTTCTATTTAGGGCAACTCGCTCGTGAGTATGAGTCACATTGACAACTGAGAGGTTATTCTTTAGCTTGTGTTTATGCCTAAGACACAGCCGTCCAACAATCCTTTGTCCACTGTCAATGTATATACGTATATAGACGTGATGATGGTAACGATGATGAGCTCTCCGGTGATAGTTTACTTTCTGTCTGGTATCAACACTGTGTCATCTGCATATCTTATATTGTTACGATTGTGGTCGTCCATAATTGATACCAGTAGGGTCACCTCACAGTAACGGTTAACAAATTACAATAATCCCTCATACAAAACATCCTATATCAGCTTGAAATAATGCACATCTGAAGATGGCCAAAGGGTATTTAATCGAAACACCTATAATAATCAAGATGAGGCCAATAGTTCGGTTAAATCGAACTAGTATTTTGATAATTCCTCATCTGAAAAATAAAGAAAAATAAAGAAAAATATACATAAAAGCAGACATTTGGAACCTTTGTTCACGAATTTAATTCGTTCCTGAAGGCTGTTCGTAACCCGAAATATTCGTAAACCGAAACTATGTTACGAATAGGAATCAATGTTGAGAAAAAAATTCACAGTACAATAAAATTGGAAAAGAAAAGCACAACACAACGCACGAATGTATATAACAGGCGGTCAACACAGAAATTATTCCGTTCGGGTTAACTCGGTTCGGCTCGACTCGGCTCGGCTCGGCTCGGCTCGGCTCGGTTCGGCTCGGCTCGGCTCGACTGTTCGATAACTGAAGCATTTTCATCTTGAATATTCTGTTCGAGAACCGATTTGTTCGACACGTGAGACGTTCAAGAACCGAGGTTGCACTGGATTTAAAAAAATGAAATAAAACAAACATTCGTACAAACCACCATAGATGAAGATGCGTAATTTTCTATCACCTCCAAAACGGAACTGCTATCCTTTAATCATCACAGGGAACCATTTTTGGCTTCCACTAGTATGGCTAATGCTAACCTCCATGAGATCAACTCATTGCGCCTTCTTGGACTCGCGATTTCTGCTGCCATGAAGTCGAGTGATTATATTGAATCAATTGATAGGTCTGATGCTAAGAAGCTTGCTTCACTCTGTCGTGTCAGAAAGCGTTTTGCACATTTATAAAACTACCATTTGTCCGTACATTGGATATTACTGCTATATCTAATCTGGATTTCCGGTTATATATATTCAAGAGGAAAACAAACAAACAAAAGAAAAATTCTGTAATTTTATTGGTTCTGAATCTGGCATTTAAACATCAGTCACTTACCACCGCCTTGACTTGGCTTGGCTTACCTCCGTCCTCTCTATAAATATTTTCATGTTGTAATGTACTCTCTTCATCCACGTGAATCTAAGTGTGCTATTAAATTGGCTACTAGGTTTCAATTTACTATAGAAATAGCTAGATGTAACTATTATATATATATATATATATATATATATATATATATATATTATTTTTTATCCTAACCGAGCGTGTGAGCAACGATGAGGTATTGGAGAGAGTGCAAACAAGGAGAAAGCTTATACTTAACATCAGGAAGAGGCAGACGAAATTTCTGGGACGCGTAATGAGAAAGGAGGGCTTGGAGAATCTGATACTCACAGGTCGAATAGAGGGAAAGAGAGACAAGGGAAAGCAACTCATGACATACCTAAGGAAGTGGATGACAGAACAGGGTTTGGGATAAGTAGGAAAAGGACAAAGCATATTCAGTGATACAAGGAATAGGGGGAAGTGGAGAGCCGTGACCGCTTACGTCCTGAAGGGTCACGGCACATAAAAGAAATAAAAGAACGAAGGAGATGCCGAGAGGGGGCATCGTTCGACCGTCGCGAAAGGAATTCCTGTGGCATCGTGTATTGTTTGTAGCCGTAGACGGAGTTGATTTTGGTGCCATTCGAACCTGACCCTCGTATTAACTAGCCGGAAAGCGCGACCGCGTGAATTTAAGCGTACTACTAGATTGGCTGTTAGGTCTCATCGTTTTGTTGTTGAAATAGGTAGATGCAAGCATACGTTGCAATTGTTCTGATGAGCTCTCCTCCTTGGTACCTCGACCGCGTGAATTTAAACGTTCTACTAGATTGGCTACTAGGTCTCAACGTTTTAACTTGAAATATGTAGATGTAACCGTAAGTTCTATTCTAATAGGTTCTTCTCTCGCACTTCTTTCCTGTGGAACTCACTTTCGATTTCTCGCTTCCCTGCGACTTTCTTTATGTACCGGGTCCATCCAGGTCGGAGACGACCATGACTCACCACAAATTCCTATCCTTGATACCTTTTACATTTTTTTTTGTTGTTATTTCTTCTAAACTTTGTCCCGTCATCAATTTAATCAAGCTTACGAATTGTCTTATTTTCTGATACGCGAACAGACCAACAAAAACACCACCATAAAAACATCGATGTCGTTATTCGCAGTCAGTAAAAATAATCATAGTCAATTTAATTTATTTAAATCTAAATCATTTTAAATCTTTATAAATCATTGATTTTAGAAAGGTTAACAGGCACAGTGGAGTAATGGATAACGGCTCGGATTGAGGAATCGGAGAGTCGAGTTCGAATTCCAGTCGAATTCATTACATTCACTTACGTGCTAATAGCCCTGGGAAAGATATGAAACCCCACCACCACCACCAGCTATGTGTAAATAGCAAGACAGACCAGGTTCTATAGCCTTGGATGGCAACAGGTTTACTGCAGAAAAAAAATGGCAGCCTACTTTGGGAAAAAATCTGCCTAGTCAGTCATGTATTGAAAGTTACATGATCGCCTAAGCGTGTATCACCCAATGCAACATTAATGACTGAAACATTAAAATTAGAAAAATAAAATTAATCTATTCACATGAACTGTACAAAAAAAAGTTATATAAGATTTGCATTTAAAAAGGTTGTTTTCTGTTTGTTCTTTTTTTTTATCATTTAACCTCAATTACGGTAATAAAGCCACTAAGACGCAAAGTGACAGAATATGAGAAAAAGACTATTATGGTGAGAGATTTAATAAAAGGACGTGAATTAAGAAGACAGAAAATAACAATTCAAAATGCATTTAAATTTTTGAAAATTAAAGTTTGAAGATTTAAAAGATTTTCACAAACGAGAACTTCAAGAAAAAACCATTAGCATAGAACTTAAGGTTACACCTAAGGATTTCAATAGATGTACTGCACATAAATTCATGAAATCTAGGTATCATAGAGGAAAGTTCATAAGAACAATTACCATGAAAATATTCATAGAAACGTCACAGGGAAACTACGTTAGGTCGGCGGGAAATCGAGATACCAGGCCACGACCAATAAAATTGCAGATTCTTTTTTTCTATTTTATCAAGAATCTCTAAATACATAGCAGAAGCACCAGACATGACAGCAATAATCAATGCATGGACGAATGGCAGACTTTTAAATATGTAAGATAGATTCTGACAAGAAAAAAATGTCTAGCATGATACAGTAAGCCAACTTTCCTATCAGCTGACCTAGCAATTGATTCAATCTAAAATTTCCACTTCATGACAGCGGAAAACGTTAGCCCGAGAAGGCTCAATCAGTCACTCTGCTCAAGGTCCTTGCAGATTCCTGGGGGTCGGGTCGCTGGAAGAAATTTACGAGATTTTGTCTTCAACTTACATGTATATTTATACATAGATATAGTAGTAGACATGCTAATATAATAGATTAAGTTTAAAACAAAAACAAACAAATCACAAAATCCTGAAAGAAAATATAGATCCAATTTAAAAAAAAATCCCAATGCGCATAAAACCGCTAGAAATCATCTGCATCGTTCAACAGTCAGACTTCCAAACGCCTCGACCGTTTTCAAAAATTAGCGCCACACATGCGTATTGGGACGATTGCAAATGGCCGCTCCTCGCAAATACGTCGATTCTTCGAGACGTCGGCCATGTTGGATTTACACGCCAAACAGGTACATGTCCGTGGCAAGTGTATTCTCTCACTACAGGCTGGTTACTCTTTTTCGAGTACACCGCTATGTTAACCAATACTTGTTGAAGACGGCTGCTCAGGCACATCTCTCTTTCTTCAACACCTACGGAACCCTCCCCTGTGTGTGTGTGTGTGTGTTTTTTTTTTTTTTGTTTTTGTTTTGTTTTTTTCTGCACCTATTCTAGGTGGACTTTAGTTACAATTTCGGAGAGACAGCGAATAATCTGGCATGATCAATATTTTTGTTTCTTTTTTTTTTCTTTAATAACTCCAGTACAGCAAACCCCTTGGTCGCAGTGACTTATATATATATATATATATATATATATATATATATACTTGCGTATTGATAAAATTTCAGCCGGAAGACGGCCTTTCACTTCTGCGCACAATGCCAGAACAGATCAAAAGTGTCTTGGCGTCTGTTAAATTTGTTAACGCATGCGTATAGCCATACTCGTTTGCCATTTTGAATTTATGTAAGAGAAATAAATAAAGATTTGAGGCAACACCAAAAGACAGAAAAATCAAAATGCAATTTTCAAGCCACAGAGAGAACGACCCCTATCCGAAAAAAAAAAGAATATATTTAAAATGAAAATAAAGAAACAGAACTGACAACAAAACAATCGAATGAATTCGCCATTATTTTGACCTTTAACTCGATACAAAATCGATTTCGCTTTTGTTGCCAATTGTTGTTATATGTTACTTAAAAACAACGATGAAAAACAATGGAAATTCAAATAAATTAGAAAAGAACAAAAGAAATCAATTCTAGAAAAAAAATAACAGGTGCTTTTTGTCGTAGAAAAAATGGTAAAGATGAAACAATGGTGCTAGGTGAACAGGTGGTTGGAAAAGAAAGAAAGAAAAAAAAAAGAAAACAAATATGAGAAGAGTAAGAAAGAAATTCCTGTAAAGAAAGAAAGAGATTTCTGAATAGAAAGAAAGAAAGACTGTCAATAAAGAATAAAAACGTGAAAAATGTTAAACAGAAGAGAGCAAATGTTAAGATGAGATTAAGAAAGATTAAAGAAAAGCAGAATGAATGAAAGGAAGGATGGAAGGAAGGAAAGAAGGAATGATAGAAAGAAAGAAGTAAGCAAACAAGCAGACGAACATTAATGACGTTGAGAAAGTTTTGGAAGTGCAAATAATAAAAGGAAAAAATAAGTCAAGAAAAGATCATGAAAGGAAAAAGACATTGAGGAAATATGAGTGAAGAGAGATTTGGTAAGAGGAGGAAGAGGAAAGAATTGGCAGAAGGAGGAAAGAATTGGTAAAAGTAGTAGGAGGAAATAATTGGTAGGAAAAGGAGGACGACGAAAGAATTGGTAGGAGTAGGAGGAGGATAGAATTGGTAGGAGGGGGGAAAGAATTGGTAGGACGATGAGGAAAGAATTGGTAGGAGTAAGAATGATTTGGTTGGAGGAGGAGTAGAAGGAGGAAAGAATTGGTAGGAGCAGAAGGAGGAAATGATTGGTAGGAGGAGTAGGAAAGATTTGGTAGGAGGATGAGGAAAGAATTGGTGGGAGTAGTATTAGGAGGAAAGAATTTGTAGGAGGAGGAGAAAAGAATTGGTAGGAGGAGGAGTAGAAGGGGGAAAGAATTGGTAGGAATAAGAGGAGGATAAAATTGACAAGAGGAGGAAGAGGAGGAAAGAATTGGTAGGAGGGGGGAAAGAATTGGTAGGAGTAGGAAAGATTTGGTTGGAGGAGGAGTAGAGCGAGGAAAGAATTGGTAGGAGCAGAAGGAGGAAATGATTGGTAGGAGGAGTAGGAAAGATTTGGTAGGAGGATGAGGAAAGAATTTGTAGGAGGAGGAGAAAAGAATTGGTAGGAGGAGGAGTAGAAGGAGGAAATAATTGGTAGGAGTAGGAGGAGGAAATGGTTGGTAGGAAGAGTAGGAAAGAAGGGTAAAATAGCGGTTGAAGGGCTAAGAAGGAGTAACGAAAAAAGGAACAATGGGGAGGGAAAAGAATGAAAGAATAAAAAAGCGAACATGTCGGAAAATGGAAGTACGAGGAAGAAAGACAGAACGGTGGTAAAATAAAATAAAGAGAAGAAAAGGTCAAAGGGAGAGAGTGGAAACTGCGAAGTGAGAGAAAGACTAAAACAAGGGAAGAAGAAGAAGAAAGAGGAAGTTAAAACACAAGAAACTGGACTTTGAAAAAGTAAAAAGGGAATGGTGACAATGGAAGGGTGAAGTGACAGAATTAATAAGGATGGGTGAACATCAGTGGGAGGAAGAGTAAAGAAGAGGCAACTGGAAGTAGAAGGAAGGAGGGAAAAAGAAGGAGAAAGAGAAGTGGAACATGACAATAGAGAGAAAAGCTAATAATGGAGAAGTGATAGTAAAATGAACTGCTAGGAATGAGAAATAAAACGGAACATTGTGAAATGCGAAATGAGAGAAACAGTAAAAAAGAACGTCTCGTAAGAGGAAAGTTGGCGTAAGAGTAAAGAAGGGGAGGTGATGTAGAATAGAGTGCTAAGAATGAAAAATGAAAGGGAGCCGTCTCGATTTGGGGGCGTTAAAATTAAACCAACCATTTCTTGCCCCTGTTAATAACAGATTGTATCTCATTTTTAGACATTTTTTCTGCCAATCTGATCTTCTCGAACCAATCAGACTTACCATTAAGACAGAAGTAATAGATGTGTCATCAGCATAGATATCGAGTTGAGAACTGATGACACCAGGAAGGTCGTTTATGAAAATTAAAAAACAACTCAGGTGCAAAGAATGAGCCCTGAGTGGCGCCTGTATTAATGCAAAACGTTCTAAAAAAAGTGACCATTCAAGAAAAAATTCATTTCGCGATTTGATAAGCAAGACTGAATCAGTTCAAATATTCGTGCAGTATTATCATAACATTTTAATTTATAAAGAAGGTCAGTATGCCAAACCCTGTCAATTGCCTTCGAGATATTCAAAGCAACAGTCCTAACTTCACTATACTTATCTAAAGTTTGATACACTCTTTCAGTAGCAATCGTTAATGCATCAGTAGCTGACCTAGAGAAGTGAAAGCGTATTCCTTATGTGAAAGAAGACTTTCCTAGGTGAGATGCTTAACCAATTCTGAGTTAATTAAAGCGTCTAGTAATTTCCCCAAAAGAGGTAGGCGGCTAATAAGATCGTGTGTTTCACGTGAGTTCTTAAAGACTGGAAATACGAAAGAGGATTTCCAACGAATAGGAAAGAAAGAAGCAACAAAGCAATCATTGTAAGGTTTAGAGAGAACAGGAGCCAGTTTTGGAGTACATTTCTTGGGGGCTATTGCAGGGATATCCTCAAGTCCACATGCATTGTGAGGACCATGTTTAGAGATGAGACCAGAAACCATAGACCGAGTTATAAGTATATATCACTAAATAGATACTCAGTTGAATCAACAGTTGAATTTGAAGAAAATTTACGAACAAAATACTCTGCTTTATCAGTGGAAGATATTAACACCTCAAATTGAGTGAAGAGAGGAAGAATATGAAACAAACTCTTATTTAACACACTATTACAGAGCCGCCAGTAATCACGAGAACGAAACTTGTTAGAAGTTAATCTGTGTCCCATTTTATTAGCAAACAAAAACTTAGCCTCTCTTTGAGGACAAGTTTACATTTTTTGCGAGCAAAGTTGGGATCTGAACTATCACACTGGTACGCCCGGCAAAAAGTGTTTCCTTTTGGTTATAGCCGCTGAACAAGCTGGTGTGAACCAAGGAAAATATTGTAGTTTCAGCTGGTATTTCCGAGAAGCATCAGTGCCGAGTTTAACCAAAGAAACCTCTGTGGAACAATTCTCAATAGGAAAGTTAAGAATATCAATCTAAGGGGCGTCTCGAATAAAATAATGAAATAAATCCCAATCAGTATGCTGATAACAGAAAGAAGTCGTGTGAATAGGAGGTTCATTTCTAATAGACGACTCAAAAGAAATAGCAAGATACTACCGCGTGATACGAATTAGAAATAGAACAGAGTTGTGATGCTAAGAGCTAGGGGAGGAGGTCAGGAACAAATCAAGTAAAGAAGAGTGTTGATCAGATTTATTTTGGAAATGAGTAGGGAAATCCACTACTTGACTGAGAGACTGAGCAATGAAAAATTGAAAATCTGAATACTGTCAACATCAGTAACATTATAATGCTTAAGCCCTATAACATGTTAGCATTACAATCACCAAACACAAAAATGTCAATAAATGAAATATTATCAAAGATACCAAGCCGAGGTACCTTTAGGGAGCGCCTGAATATCATCCCACGGGTTAACACAAGTAATCGTGACAGACGATTATATATAATAAATAGACCGGTTAATAAAATTTGAAGAATAAAAAAAAACCAACAAAATAATACCAATATGGTCAATAAAATGGATACATTACATATTAACCTTTTGACTGAAACGAAGTGCAGACCGATAAGTTTTAAAGTCGGAATTTTCGAACACGCCTGTGTCCTTTTTCAGCGATGCGAGGAATAAACAAAGCAGTGGGATTTACTCTTCCAACAAATGTTGCTGGCTAGAGCAATCCATATGATATAGTAGTGACTAGACCTAAATTCCTCAATGTTTGCTTTTATTTTTTAAATAAATTTCAACTGCGATCTACGTCTCGTCTCACGGCTGTTGAACGAAGACGCCAAAAGTACGTATCCGATGTCATCTGCGTTATGATATGCTAGGTTGAAGTGTTTTGCGACGGTTAAATTATTGTTGTTGTCCCTGGTGGTTTTCTTATGGTTGTTAAATTGAAGTCGGAATTATGTACCCGTTTCTGCCACTTGTTGACACTTGTGACAGGTCGGAATTTTCGAACACGCCTGTGTTCTTTTTCAACGATGCGAGGAATAAACAAAGTGGGACTTACTTTTCCGAGGAATGTTGTTGGTTAGAGGTCTCCATGTGGAAAATATACTCTCTTAGTAAACCCAAATCTCTATTTAATAATCCCTCGGTGTTTGAATTTATTTTGAAAATAAACTTGAACTGATCTTCGTCTTGCTTCACGGCTGTTTTAATCATATATATATATATATATATATATATATATATATATATATATATATATATAATAATGACGCTGGAGACCGAACAGGTCAGGTTGAAAGTAAAATTACGTACAGATTCTTAAGTGGGATCTTCGTTTTTCATTGCATCTGAAAATGTCCTTTTTTCTTTCATATTTCGTTTTTTTTAAATGATTTATCCTATTATAATGGCGTTTTTGCAATTGTGATAATTTAATTTCTTTTCTCCTTCAAATTCTTTTAGAGTCATTTCAGTTTCTTTTCTTTTTTCTTTTTCTTTTTTTTGCTCTTTTCTTTCCTTCTTTTTTCCGTTCTCATTTTTCTATTTTTCTCTCTTATTCTATTTATTCTTATTTTTCTGCTCTTTCTTTCTTTTTTCTTTCTTATTTTCTTTTCTTCTTTCTTTCTAGATCTTTTTCTTCACCTCTCTTTGTCTTCATTTTTTCTCATTTTTTATAATGTTTTTTGTCACTCTCTTTCTTACTTTTTGCACTTTTTCTTTCTTTCTTTCTTTCTTTCTTTCTTTCTTTCTCATCCTATAAAATTTCTAGCTTCTTTTCTTCCTTGCATTCTTTCTTTCATTCGTATTATTTCCCATCATTTTTTCCTTTCTTTCTTTCTTTCTTCCTTTCTTTCCTTCTTTCTTTCTTTCTTTCTTTCTTTCTTTCTTTCTATTTTCATCCCACAACATTTCTAGCTTCTTTTCTTCCTTGCATTATTTCTTTCGTTCGTACTATTTCTCTTCGTCTTTTTTCTATCATTTTTCTTTCTTTGTATCTCTTTCTTTTTTATTTTTCTCTCTTTCTTTCCTTCTTTCTTTCTCCCTTTCTTTCATTCTTTCTTTCTGTCTTTCTATTTTCATCTTATAACATTTCTAGCTTCGTTTCGTTTTGGCATTCTTTCTTTGATTTGTACTAATTCACTTTCTTTTTTTCTTTCTTTCTATTTCTTTTTTCTTCATTTTTTGTTTTCATTTTCTCTCTCTTTTCTTTATACTCTTTTTTCTTCCTCGATCTCTTTCTTTTTTTTCAATTGTAGTATCTCAGTTCATCTTCTTTCTTTCTCTTTCTTTCTTTCTTTCTTTCTTTCTTTCTTCCTTGTAATCTATTTTTTCTTTTTTTTAGCTTTCTTTCTTTTCTTGTTACTTTCTTTCTTGATTTATTTCATTGTTTCTTTCTTTTTATGCCATTGTTATTTTCTCTTTTTGCGTTATTTTCTTTTTCATTGTCATTTTTTCTGTTTTTCTCTTTTTTTTACTTTATTTGTATTTCCTTTCTTTCTTTTTTCTTTGTTTCTTAATCATGCTTTTTTTCTCATGTTTTTTTTCTTTTTCTTTCATTTTCATTTATCATGTCTCTCTCTCTCTGTCTCTCTCTCTCATCATTTTTCATTTCCTTCTCTATTTCTTTTCCTGGGCTTGTGACCTTTCTTTTCTTATTTTCTTTGAACTTTCAGAATGAAAGCAAATTGTCTGGGAATGCTGTTCTTTTATCCATCAGTTTTTCATTCCAACTTTTCCGTTTTTCTTTCCAACTTGGCACGCGCAACCAATTGTTTAAAAAATAAAAGGGAAGAAAAAATGCAGACGACACCACAAGAACATGGCTGCCGACACCGCCCTAAACGTATTATGTACCACAGACTTTCCTTACGTAACAAACAATTGTCAACTGCTCAACAAAGAAACTAACATGCCTTCATATCTTCCAGTCCCAATGTCTATTCAAACCACATTCACTCATTCCGAAAGTGTTTATTTGTAAACAACATCTACCAAGTATTCCTCAGGGTAAAAAATGTCTTTACTCATACTTAATTAAAAGCCGCACAAGGCAGCCCTCAAACACGATGTTAAACTATTTATTATACATAGTGTATATACTATACTTGTGTCTCCTATATCCACAACACGAAGACTAATTTCCTTTTCCTGTCCGGAGTATGACCGTAAACTACATCCGCGTCCTGGGTAAGACGATAAACTACCCAATGTCTCTGATCAGGAGGTTTTCAGGGGCGTAGAACCACCTCTTAACTGCTGGTGTTCCCAGGTCCATCCTGACCCGGAGTGGTAGCACGTGTTAGGGTCCCAGTTATAGGCAAATAGTTAACCACCAAACTGGGATCAAAACACTATGAAAGTGTAAAAATAGTTTTTAATAGCAGAAATAGATTTTGTAAAAAAATTTTACCATCAATAAATTTTGGAAGGAAAAAAATATTACCTGCAGTATATAACCAGCAATACATTTTTGCAGGAAAAATATTAGCAGCAATAAAAATTTTGTCGGCATTAAATAACCCATTGAAGTTGATATACCGTAAAATGAGACAAACGAAACCAATTTCCTTTTTATTTGAAGTCTTTCAACACCATGGATCGAGACAAGGAACAAATAGAACACACACGATACTTCAAGGAAATGTCTGTAATATAATCGATCCTGACCTG